GGGGGGGGGCAGGGCGGGCGCGGTAGACGCACCCCGGAGGTAGGTCGGTTCGGCCTCCTGCCAGCGGCCCATCTTCTCGTAGATGAGAGCCAGGTTGTTGAGGGAAATGGCGATGTCATGATCGTCCTGCCCCTGGCGGGTCATCTCGCGGATCTCCAGCGACTTGCGCCACATGTACAGGGTTTCATCATGGCGGCCAAGGCGGAAGTACAGCCGGCCCAGCTCGTTCATGGTGGTGGCCACCTCGACGCTGTGCTCGCCGAATTCCGCGCGCTTGATGCGCCAGGCCATGTTGAAGAAGCGGATGGCTGTGGACATGGGGGAACATGCCGGATGCCGACCGGCGGCCGAAGCCCCCGCGCCGAAAGGCGCACCGTGGAGCAGTGGGAGCAGGAGCAGTTAGGACAACACATTGCCGGACGCACGGACGCACACACAGCGCAGTCGTCTCCCCTCCCCCCCCCCCCCCTGTCCCCCTTCGCGTCGGCGAGCCGTGAGAGTGCCCCGGCCGAAGGACCCCTGACGCACCCTCGTTGTAGTGCCCGCCGTCGCGAACATACTCCCCGATCTTGTGAGCCAGCCGGGCCACCTCGCGCATGGACCCGGGGTTGGCCGCCTGGAAGGCGCGCAGGTTCGACTCGTACAGCCGGGCAATCTCGTCGCCCGATGCCTCGGTGGTCACCCAGTACCGGAAGAGGTCGTACTTGCGCTCTTTGTGGAAGAGCTGCAGCAGGAGATGAGGCGTCATCGCGAGCCGGGTCAGAGACGGAGGCCGGAGGGGCGCAGCAGGGATGCCGGCATGGGCTCAACACTTCGGCCCTGCGTGGTGTGTGTGTGTGTGTGGGCTTGCGCGCGTGCGCGCGAGGCAGCCGCACGGCATGCGAAAGGGCCCGGCAGTGGCTGCGGCCCGGCTCCCCGCCCCCCTCCCCTGTGGAGAGGGCAGCAGTGCCTGCGACACGCGGGTGCCGCGCAAGCTGTCCTGCCCCCCGCCCCCTCCCCGCTGCCGCCACCTGCCTCGCCCTCCCCCCCCCCCCCGCCTCCTGGCTCGCTCTCCTGCGTCCGAGACAGCTGCGCGCCGCCCGGCTCCCCTCCACTGTCTTGCATGGGAACAGGAGCCGGAGACGCGCGCGCGTGCTTCAATTATTACTCTCTCAAGCACTGGTGGACCTCGGACTTGTGGAGCAGCTGGATGTGTGCGCACAGCCGGGCCGCCCTCACCCCGCCCCCCTCGCGTCGTCTCTCAGAGGCACATGCCCACACCGACCCAAAGGCAGGGCCATCGGGCCATCCGCCCTGTGCCGCTGCTCGCGCCCGGCCCGCGCGCCCATTCCCTGCCGGTGGTGTGGGGTCGCACCTTGTCGAACATGCGGATGTTGGCGATGCAGCTCTTGAGCCGGGGCTTGTCGCGGGTGCGCTCCAGCAGCCAGGGGAGCTCGTCGACCACGCGCTGCGTCACACCATCGGTCCCGGTGTGCGCCGCGTGCGCCAGAATAGGATCCGGCGCTTGCAGCGGCGGCGGGGCGTCCGGCTCATCCGGAGACACCATGTCCACATCGGTGGTGGTGGTGGTGGTGGTGGTGGTGGTGGTGGCGGCGGCGGCGGCGGCGGCAGCGGCCGCGCCGGTGGCCGTGCGGGCGGCCTGCCCGCCCGGTGCTCCCGGCCGGCCGGTGGACGGGATGACCAGACTGAGCCGCGGGCTGGCCGGGCTGCCGGCGCCGGTGGAGGAGGCCCCCGACGAGGTGGACTCGTTGGGCCCGCTGCCGGAGCCGGTGGTGGCGCTGGCGCTGGCCAGCCCCCGGCGCCCGGCAGCACTGGCCCCCTCCCCGGTGGAGGAGGCCCGCGAGGTGGGAACCAGGCCCACGCGGCCGATGCTCCGGCTGACGTGAGCCGGACCGGCCACCACGCGCGTGGCCTCGGCCAGCAGGGAATTGTCGAAGGACCGCGCGTCGCGCATGTCGGCGTCCTCGGCATGGGCGCCGGGTGCCGACGTGCCGGCGCGGGAGGAGCTCGCCCCGCGGGCGCCGGCATCGGCCCGCCGGCCAGCCATTTCGGCCCGCCGGCGCTGGCGCAGCTCCGGGCTCAGCTCATCCTCGGTGTCCACATCCTGCGGCCCGGTGGCCACGTCGGCCATGCCATTGCCAGCATTCTGCCGCTGCTGCTGCTGCTGCTCATCGGTGTCCATGTCGTCGTCGGTGGAATCGCCAGCGGCGTCGAGGAAGTCCCCGTTGGGGCCGCCGGGGGCCCCGACACCGGCCCCAGGGGCCGGCACCGACCCGCCATTCATCTTGGATGTGAAGTAGTCGATGAGCTTGTCATAGGCACGCTTCTGCGCCTCCTCGGTGCTGAGGTACCGGCGCCGGGCCGCATCGCGCAGGCCTTCATGGAAGTAGGACACCAGCCCGCAGCGGACCAGCAGAGATGGGGCCAGCGCGCGGAAGAAGTCGTGCCAGGAGGGCGGGTCCAGGTTGAGGATCTGCCCGGGCCCGAGGCCAAAGCGCCCCAGCGGAAGATGGGCAAGGGGGGGGGGAGAGGGGGAGTCAGCAAAAGGAGCGGAGAAAGTGCAGAAAGATTTCCCCCCCGCCGGACCTTCGCCCCCAGGGGGGAGGAAGGGGGGGGGGGGAGGCGGCGCGCGCTCATGGACGGGGGGGAATGGGGTGTGGTGCTTGTACCTCCTCGACCTCCTTCTCGGAGAGACCCTGCCGGGAGGAGGCCAGGCAGGTGAGGAAATCATGGACCAGGGTGGGCGGCGTGTTGAAGTCCATCTCCAGGGCCTCAAGTACCCGGTCATAAAGCTCGGGAGCTGGCACGAGACCGTTCACATGTGCGGAGCGGCACGGCGCGAAAGAGCGAGACAGCGAGAGGGACAGGGGGAGAGAGAGCGAGAGAGAGAGAGAGAGAGAGAGAGGCTGGGTGTGAGTGACTGCCAAACAGGAAGCAACAGTGGGGAGTGGCCAGTTGCGGGGCGAGGCACGGGGTGTGTCGCCATGCTGATCACTCGCGGAGGGCCAGCCCCACAGGGCGACACATGCGCCCCCCCCCCCCCCCCCCCCCAAGCCAGGTGCCCGGCAGCAGCCGAGGTGGAGCGGGTTATGGCGGTAGGGGAAGGAACGCACTGCTCCGGGCGCTGGTGTAGAAGTTGATGCGCTCATCCATGCTCAGCCGGGTGCGCAGGCGGACGAGGTACTGCAGCAGCACCGTCAGGTACAGAGGGTTGTGGGCCTGCCATGGGTGTTCGTGTGTGTGGGAAGGGGCGGCAGGACCGGACGGGCAATGCGAAGCGGCGGATGCCGGGGTTTTGTTGCCCCGAGGGGGGAGATAAGGAGAAACGCTGTCAGGCACCGGCCACATCATCCCTGATAGGGGGGCGGGGGAGGGGGGGGGGGGGGTGCGTGCAAACGTGGTGGCGCAAAGACAGCAGGCAAAAGGGGAAGCACAATGGCCGGGACCGGCCCACGACAGGCCGCGCTGCACGCACCATGGGCGAGGTGGCGATCTTTTCACGCTGCTCTGGGCCAAGGCCGCGCACGGCGAGGGCCGCCTGCGGCGAGATCTTGGCATACCGCCGAGTCAGGCGGTCGATGATGTTCTGCCGCTCGGAGAGGGTCAGCTCCACCAGGCGATAGGGCTGCCACTGGCGGCGGTCGATCAGCTCGGCGGTGATCTCCCGGGCCGAGGAGCAAACCGAGTAGATCATCTGCCAGGTGCCGCGTCAATAGGGGCGGCCAAGCGACAGCGGGAGGGCAAGGCAGCGCGCAGCAGGGACGTGATGTCAGCACCGTGGGCAGCGACGCGCGCACGCGTGTGTGTGTGTGTGTGTGTGTGTGTGGTGTACAAAAAGGAGAGGGCGAAAGAGAGAGGGCAAGAGAGAGGACAAGAGAGAGAGAGAGAGAGAGAGAGAGCGAGCGAGAGAAAGAGCAGGGGAAGGAGACCCCCACCCGAAAACACACATACCTTGACATTGGGCGGGATGAAGGTCGGCAGCCAGGAGAGGTCCAGCTCGGAGTCGGCCTTGGTCTCGATCAGGTCCAGGCCATCCACCACGACGACCACCATGCGCCGGCTGCCGACCTCCTGCAGCCACTGGGGGAACTTCTGGACCATCTGCATCCAGCTGGCCGGGACGTCCTCCTCCACCTGGCCATAGGCGCGGAGCTGCGTCATGAGCCGGTAGATCATGGCAATCGGGTCGGCGGCCGAGGCCGAGGCCGCCAGCGAGTGGTACAGGACGATGGTGTTGGCCGTCAGCCGGCAGTGGTGCTGCACCCAGTGCGCCAGGACCGTGGACTTGCCCCGGCCCTTCTCTCCGATGACCACCACCGGGAGGGTGACATTGGACGAGGGGCTGGTGGGGGTGGCGGCGGCGGCGGCAGCGGCGGCGGCGGCGGCCACGGCCGGGCCGGAGCCCGGCGGGGCGTTCTGCGCCACACTACTGCCCGCCGCCATCGGCCCGGTGGTCGGTGTGGTCGGGGTTTGGCCGAAGAGCGATGCCAGCGAGTCCGGGAAGAAGCTGGCCACCGGGGTCGAGGCCGCCGAGAAGGAGGCCGCCGCGCTCGGGACCGACCCGGACGGGGTGACGGGCACCCCGCCCCCGAGGGCCGAGACGGACCCGGCCGGCCGGCTGGCCGAAGCGCCGGTGGCCGTCGTGGCGGCCGGATCGGCGGCCGGTTGCGCCGGGGCCGCGGCCGAGCTCCGCCGGAAGAAGCCATTCAGCAGCGAGGAGGCGGTGTTGCTGCCGCCGGCCGGCTGGCCGCCCGAGGGGCTGGTGGTCCCGGCGCCGGGGGCCGTGCCGGCGTGCGGGTCGGCCCCAGGCGACCCGGGGGCCTCGTGCCGGCCGCCACCGGCCAGGCGCACGGCCACGCTCCGACGGAAGGAGTCATCCCCCGATCCGAGGGAAGTGGTGACACTGAGCAGCGGCGAGTTCGGCGAGTCGGCCATGGTGGCATCGTCATCGCTGCCGGCCGTGTGCGTGCCATCGCCGGCGGGCTGCGGCTGCGGCTGCGGCTGCGACGGGGCCGCCGTGGACAGCGTCCGCCCGGCCGACGCAGGCACAACGGCCGCGGCCGCGGCCGACGACGACGACGACGACGACGACGGCAATCCGCCACCCGGCCGGCCGCCTGGGCTGCTGGTGGCCACAATGCGCGCCAGGGAGGCGGCCCCGTCATTGGGGCTGACGGCCTGGCCGCCGGGGGCCGGGCGACCGGCCTGCGGCCCGGTGCCCGGCGCCCCGCCCGGGGCACCCGGCCGCGGGCTAGCCGGCAACACGCCGCTCACGCGCCCGGCCGCCGCATGCATCAGCCCACCGCTGAAGTCCGGCACCGGGTAGGTCAGCCGCAGCCGAGCGTCAATCTGCCGGCACACGTGCTCCAGGCTGACCGGCGTCGCGTGGGCATAGGCCAGCATGCAGGCCTCGTGGTGGGCCGGCTCGCGCTCGCGCACACACCGAAACACCAACACCCGCCAGGCACGCGACACCGAGGCACAGTAGCACGCCAGGGTGCTCGGGTCCAGGAAGCCGAAAACATGCAGCCATAGCTCCGGGGCCAGCTTCGGCGCGCCGCCGGCCCGGGGCGACACCGGCCCGGCGGTCTTGCCGGAGAAGTGCTGCTGCTGCTGCTGCCGCAGGGCACGCACTTCCTCCAGCGCGGCGGCGCAGGTGGACACATCCTCCAGGACAAAGGTCGGCCCGGTGGGCTGGGGCGGAGCGAGGGCGGCCGCCGTGGGGGCCACCCCCCCGGCCGACGGGGGCAGCAGTGGCGTCAACGGCTGCTGGGCCTGCTGCTGGGCCTGCTGCAGTAGCAGTGCCTGGATGTGACGCTGCTGGGCCTGGGCCTGGGCCTGGGCCTGGGCCTGGGCCGTGCTGTGGAAGTTGTCGATCAGGTGCAGCATGGAGTCCGAGCTGCCGCTGCCGGCGGCCACCCCGGCCGCGGCGCCGAGGCAGTGCCCCAGGTGCCCGCTGCCGGTGGCTGCATGCATGGACGTCGGCGTGGTGGCGGCCACCAAGCCGGGCCCGAAGTACCCGCCATTGGGCACGGCGTACGATTGCGACTGCGATTGCTGGTGCTGCTGCTGGTGCTGCGGCGCCGGCGCCAGGAGGGCGTGATGGTGCTGGTGGCCGTGGGGGTGGGCATGGGGATGATGATGATGCTGGCCGATGGCCAGCAGCTCGCCACTGTCGCTGGCTGTCAGCGAGGGCGACGGCGAGACGCAGGCGGTGCCGGCAACGGTGGTCGAGGCCCCGGCGGCCGCGGCGGCAGCAGCGGCCGCCGCTGCCACCAGCGGATCGCCCGGGGTGCTGAGGCCGACCCCACCACCATGGGGCCCGGCCCCAATGGCCAGGCTGGACCGGCGACTTGTGCCGGACAGGGCCCCCAGCTGCGGGGTCGAGGCCGACTGGGCAGTGGGCGTGGCGGCCGGGGTGATGCTGGCGTCGATCGGCGAGGCCAGGGCCGAAAAGGAGGGGAAGTTGGTGCCACCCAGGTGCAAGGCGGCCAGGGTGGGCGCCGGGGCGCCGGCTCCCGGCGGCTGGGTGCCATCGGTGCCGGGGGCGCAGAACCCCCCCGGGCCCACGGGCTGGCGCCAGCCACGGAGGGCGCCGGGGCCGCCGGGGCCCGGGCCCTGGCCCAGGTGCTGGGCGTGGGCCTGGAGCAGGTGCTGCGACTCCGCCCCGAGCCCCGGGGCATCCGGCGCCTCGACCCCCGAGTTGGGGGTAATCAGGAGCGGTGGCGGCGGGGCGGCCCGGACGAGTGACGGCCCAGGCGAGCTGGCTTGGGCGGCCATGCCGGCGCCGGGCCCGGCCGAAGGCGTGGCCGATGGTGGCGCGGCCGCCCCCGACGGGTAGGCCCAGCCGCCGTCGGTCGACCCGCGCCGGGGAGAGCACTCCGGCGACATGGCGCTGCTGTGTCGGCTGGCGGTGTTGCTGGTGCGAATGGTGCGGATGCCGCCGCGGCGTGAGCGCAAGAGGGACCCTGGCGAGATTGGTCCGGGGACTCGAGAAGCAAAGAACAAGGCCGTGCTTTTGAAGCGCTTGTTCAGGTCCGGGGCGATGGCCGGCGTGGCGACTGCAAGACACCGCGGGGGAGGCGGAAAGCCGGAATGCGTTGAGGACGGGGGTGGGGTGGGGTGGGGGGGGGGGGGAGCAGATAGGGGACACAGCCAGGGACAGGCCAAATGTGTATGTGTCAGCAGGGGCCAGTGCAGGGGTGGGAGAAAAAGGGCGAGCAAGAAAGAGAGGCAGGCGGAAAGAGGGAGTATTGTTTCGGTTCACATACCGACCGGACGAAGGGGCTCTGAGGGTGAAGTGGACAGGGGCTGGGACCGCTTGGGCTTGCCGAGGGATGCGGCAGCCGGTGTCGGCTGTGAGGGCGGCGAGCAAGGGGCCCGAGGCAGGCAGTGAGGACTGTCGGCGGCGGCGGTGGCGGCGACGTCAACATGCGCAGACACGCTGGGGCACGGGGAAAGGGCAGCCGAGGCGGTGGCAGGGGCGGCAGCCGCGGATGCGACTCCGGCGCGGGGCTTCGATGGACCGGGCGGCAGACGATGGCGACGACCTGGGCGTGGGGGGTTGCGACCGGGCGATCGGGCTGCCAGGCGCCGACGTTGGAGGACCGGCGGCGGTGAGGGAGGCGGCGAGGTGGTGACTGGCGCCGCGGCGAGGGTCGGCGTCGTCGGGCACGAGACAGGTAGATCGTCCCCCGGGAAGGAGCCAAAGCAGTCGTCCAGCTGGAGGTGGATCGAGGCACCGTGGAAGCTTACGGGCTGTCGGGCGCAGAGGAGCTGCGACAGGTGGTGGAGGTCCTCGGATGCGCGCTGCTGGTGCTGCTGCAGTTGGAGGAGCTCGTGCGAGCGGGGGCCCTCTCTTGGGGGGTTGTCGTCTTCTTCTTCCCCTACGGGTGCCGGAAGTGGCTGTGGCGACCGGCCCGGGTTGTGAGCAGGGGATCCTGGGTAGGACCTGCCGTGCGACAGGAGCACCGGCGAGTGCGCTGTTGCACAGGGGAGGGGGCATCGGCCAGCGAGGGGACATTGTGGCGCACGGCGTTGTGTAATTGCGCGTGAGCATGAGTGATGAGGAGGGGGAGGGGGGGGGGGAGAGACAAAGGCAAAGTCAGTGAGTTGGGTTAGTTGTTTGGGCGGACATCCCCGTAGAGGGGCGGAGGGGCCAGTCAGCCAGTCAGCCAGTCAGTCGGTCAGCCAGTCAGCCAGTCAGCCAGTCAGTCAGTCGGTCGGTCAGTCGGTCAGTCGGTCAGTCGGTCAGTCGGTCAGTCGGTCAGTCGGTCAGTTAGTCGGTCAGTAGGTCAGTCAGTCAGTCAGTCAGTCAGTCAGTCGGCAGCGGGCGAGTGGGAGAGCAGGCATTCGCCGAGAAAGGAGACGCAATGGGGCGCGAGGGAAGATGGAGGGGGGGGGGGAGGAGAGAGTGTGAAGTCCAGAAGGAAGGGCACCGGGGGGGCGGCACAAAGAGGTGCCCCGATTCCGACGGTCAAGGGGCCGGGAAAGTGCAGAGGGCCGGTCGGGGGTGGTGCGGCTGTCAGCGATCTGGGATCAGGCGCCCCGGCTGGGGGGGGGGGGGGGGACATATGCAGGCTCGGTCTCAACAGAGATCGCGGCGCATGTGGATGTGCGGGCCGGGGCCGGGGGATGGGGGACGGGGCCAGGCCGGGCAGAAGGCCGGGGGATGGGAGACGTGCGGCCGCGGCAGGGGGGACATGGCATCATCCCGAGAGTTGGCAAGTAGCCTGGGACGTGGCCAGCCCCTCCGGCCCCCGGGTTTCATAGTCCGGCGCGCCTCCGTGTGCACAAGAGTGCGCGCCCCCGGGCCTACGACCCGGGGGGGCGGCGGGGGGCCGAACACATTTTCTCGGGCCCGTCCTTCGTGCTGCACGGGGTGGCGCGGGGGGGGGGGGGGGGGGGGCCGGAGCGGCGACCTGACTCGGTGCTGTCCATGCTCGTGCGAAATGCCGACCTCCGGGCGCCCCGGGAGCGTGGTGCTCCCCCGGCCACGACTGCTCAGTGCTCCGCTGCCTGCGGGCCTGGTCCGGCGGCGCCCGGCCCCGATTGGTCACAAGCCACTGGGGGCTTTTTTCCCCGCCGCACCCACAGCCTGACAAGAAGGGGGGGAGGGGGGGCGAGTGGCGATCTACGGCACCTGGGCCGTCCGCTCTTCTCGCCGGCCTCCGGCCTCGGCTCGCGCGTGTTGGGCCGCGCCCCGCCTGCCGGCCGGGCTGCGGCCCCGACCAAGCCCGGAGCCCTTTGCGGCATCTGCCAAATCGGCACGGCCGAGCGAGGGGCCGAGGAAAGAGGCCGACGAGAGGAGGTCCGGACGGCGGTGGCTCCGGGACCCAAGGGCTCGGCCCCCGAATGGCAGGGCAGGAGGCCAAAGGAACGTACACTAGGAGGCGCGAGCGGTGACGATGCGGCTGGGCAAACGGCCAGCGATCACTCTCGGCAGCCGGGAGGGGCGGGGCGGCGGGGAGTGGTCCTCGGCGTCAGCAGTGCGAGGCGAGGCGCATGTCCGGGGGGGGCCGGGCCGGATGGGAGCTGCAGGGCACGCGTGCGATCGGGCCGCCTACATGGTCGAGGAGGGGGCGGGCGAAGGGCCAGGGTCAGAGGAGGTCATTGGGCCCGCCAGCCGGCGGCCGGACGCGAGTGCTGTAGGGGCGCGTCGCGCGACCGGGCCCGGCGAGGGGCCACTTCGCACGTCCACACATGGCGGCTCCCCGGCCAGCAGCGGAGGACATACCTAGCGTGCGTGCGGGCGTGCGTGCACCACAAGTTGCGCGGGTGCGCAGGGGGACGCCCAAGAGCGGCGAGGCGCGGCGAGGCGACGAGAGGGGAGCAGCTGCGGTGGTGGCGAGAGGCGAGACAGGGGGCGAGGTTCGGGGAGGGGGAGGAGGGGGACGA